CTTGGTTTCATTGCCCTTTTCACTATTTTAACAATGCTTTTAACAGGTATAAAGTTATTCTGATATAGGAAGTAAAATATTACATGTCTGTTAGTGTTTCCATAACATCATAATTTGCAACAGCACAAACCATTTTGGAATGAGGCACTAACACATTTTGCACAAATTTAGCTCAAAGTTGTTCATTTTTTTTCAAGCATCCCATTACCCTGCCTTGGGCGGAAACACTGCGTGTCGTAAACACAGAAACGCAGCTGTAATAAAAGGATGTTTAAATATATTTCTTCCATTTCTTCAATGAACTCGACTTCCAAGCTCCCAAATATTAAAAGGAGCACAGGTCAGACCACTGTCACATTTTGTTTGACTGATGAGCTTGAATCTACTGGGTTTCACGATGCCTCCGTCCATGGCCGTATCGATGTTTTTGCTCCCCTCATCACCTTTCATAGGTCGGCTGCTTATTTGCAGTTTCCATTTGTCCCATTGCATAGGTAAGACAGGAGAAAGCCATCTTCTAATTCTTCCATTCCTCCAGCATGGTATGCGGCGTGCAGATGTGGCTCAGCACACCTAACACCTCTTACACAAGCGACAGACCGTCTGTGTGATCATCAATTTCACAAGTCAGACATGTAACAACTCTGTTAGGGGGTCGGATTCCCTCATATTATGTTGTTGCACAAAATAGTGCGAACCACAGTAATGATGTGTAGAGATCGAGCATAGTATGAAGAAATAAAGTGTAAATTCTGTCCAAACACTGACATGACGAGCATATATATATATATATATATATATATATATATATATATATATATATATATGCATGATTCATATTGCTTCTGGGCCGAGATATGGCTGTAGGCTGAGCCAAAGGCCAAAAATTTGCTCCTATTTGCGTGGATCAGACTGATTTATACAACACTTTACCACAATCGCTGTCTATAGTAATTAAGAAAAGGATTTTAAAGTTTGTCATGTTAGAGTAATAGATCTTTAATATGTAAACATATGCCAGTCCTGAAAAATCACAAAATGGATTTGAGAGAAAATGGAAAGTAAAAAAAAATGATAACTTATACTGCCGACGGAATATCCAGCTATCTGATTGCAAGTTGCAGTTGTGTCAATTCATTAAAGCCTCGTAATTTTGAGCCCAGCTGGGGATGAAGGACACGATTCTGCCTACAGAGGTCGCTATATCAGCCCCTGCTAAGCTGACGAATGGATTCTGGTTAAGTGGCCATAGATGAGATGGTGCTTTTGCCCATTTAATAAGACGATGCCAACCCTTTAATTTTAGAAGAGGATTTCTGAAGTGCAGGAGGGCAGTATGGCGTAGCTGGGATATTAATATATGGACAAGAACAATCGATACACTCATCCACTGGCCAGGTTTCTTCAATGTGTAACGGCGTGGGGGGGCAGTCTGACCTGACAGGGCAAAGGCTTTTATTCTTCTTCAGCTCTGTGCATTGCATGTTTTCCTTGTAGTCGCATAGGGTTTCTCCCAAAGCATGCAAATATACTTTTATTAGTTGACTTTTGTGTATGATTGTGTGAATTTTGTGGAGGACTGGTTGCCTGTCTGAAGAGCACCCCGGCTTGTATATCGCCCTACTTGGCGTAGGTTGCGTGACTCTCTATTAAAGAAACAGTTGTTGACAATGGCTCAACGGACACTAGGGTTAGTCCTTTAATTCATTACAAATGTAATATTCTAAGTGCTTTCGAGAATACTGTCACCACAATGGAGCCTGCACCTACGTATTTAAATCTATTTAAATTAAACTGCTTAAATTGCAGTGCAATTTACAATCCAATTCAAGCATGTACTGTCCTAAAGGCCCCTTTCACAGGAAGTCAGGCATAATGGAAGCACTAAGTTTGGCCACAGTACAATTATTCTGCCAAGGCATTCAGAGCTTGTAATTAATTTTCACACAATTTAACCTTGGTTCAGTTCCAGTTGTATTATTACTTGCTACAAAGAACAAAATCAGGCTATTTACATTTTTTTAATTGTTTTAATTAATTGTGATGAGGGTTTTGGGATTTAAGCATGCATTTTTCAGCTACACGTCCATACCCAGATCACACAGAAAATCCTGAATGAATAATCTAAGACAATTTGTTCCTGTAGGACCAAGTGTTTCACATCATTGCTTTACAGAGATGTTATTTCTGAACAAACAGCTCCAAGTTAATTGTAATGGTTGTATATTTGGTTTGACTGGATAGGGATGTATTGCCACACAGCAGTTTCATCAGTCTGCTTAACACACTATTTTTATTGCAGTTTCTTGTCCTTTTGATGAACTATTTGCTGCATGATTACGATAAATAAGGCAAAATACAGGTACATGTGATCTGTCTCAATTAACGACCATCATCTAATACCACAACAGTGGCACCATCAAAAGTATCAATGGAGAGAAGGAGAACAGTCTGGGTTTTACTGTTATCTACTTCTTATGTTTTTTATTCGGAACAAAAGCACTCATCTGTGGAATGCGTGTATTTTTAGACATTAAAAGACTTTTTGAAGTACAAGCACCAGAGTGACATCTTCAGCAATTAAGCAAATGTTCTTGTTGCTACTGTTCAGAGAATATGTGAGAAGCAGGGAAGAAAACCGGCTGACTGACAGCTTGGGTGACCTGGTGCCCACAGGACAGTCATTAACAGCGTCTGCCCCCCGCCCCCATCTGACATGGGAAGGTGCAGGAAGGCCCAGGGTCACTCTCAGCTGGCTCAAGGAAACTCATTTTAGTTTCATGTTTCAGGACAAATCATCTAAATTGGTACCACACATTTTAATCCAGCCCCTCCTCCCTACAGTGGAGACTGGCCAGGGGAAATAAGTCAGATCTGCGCATCAGCTCTCGATTAGTCTGAGATCAGAGGGCCAAATGATACACAGGTGTGAGGGCCAGGATTGTGGATGCAGTCCTCCATCCGTAAGCATTTGGAGCTTGAAAGGGACAAGGCCGATCTGGGTTCAGCTGAGGTCGGCCCTCTGTTGCCATAAATCCTCCCACAGTGAGACCTGTAGTGGGTGTCCATGGCGTCTTATTTATGTCAAAGGGCTGTTTCTTTGGCCTCATGAATGACCAGGTGTGGCATGTGTCTTGGAACGCAGCCACTGCAACACTTACAAAAAAATGTGTCTTTTTCAATTCACGTCATTACTGTTGCACGGATCTGGTCCAAAATGCCAAGCATGTAGGAAAAGAGATGCATTTATTGGATATTTTATGAACAAGATGAACGCAAGCCTAAGGAGAGTGGAGCAGCACAGCTGCTTGGCTAGCGGGTTCAGTGCCGGGCCTGGGCTGTGTTCGCACAGTGTGAGTGCTCTTCTTTCTCTGTGGGTTCTCACCCGCAGTCCAAAGGCATGCTGCTGTAATAATTCTGTAGTGGTCTGGCCACACAACTTGGGTGAACCCTAATTAAGGCCCGCTCAAGAGGCAGGCTTTGGATCACCCTGATTGCAAGTGATTATAAAAACAGACACTCAAGGAAAGGAAAATTACGCCTTTCCATAATTGTCTCATTGTGGCATATAAAGAATATCACAAAAAATGGTATGTTCAGCTAGTTGGGCCAATTAAAGTATGCAGAATCCTCACAGAAGGCAACCACCAGCACTGCAGCGGCATGCATGGAGGTAATCGCTCACTAAACGGCCAATTATATTTCAGACAAGATCCAAAAATCATTTGGCTGTATAGGTTAATCTGAAGTGAATCTGGTTTTCACAAAGAATCAAAACATCCTGCAATCCTGACAACTCAGGCTTGGTTTACGAGTTCCTTATGTCCCTCATCTGTATTCTGAAGGGGCTACCGGTGATTTTGGCGGCGTGCGCTCAGACCCTCCTCAAGGCAAGGTCTGATTTCGCAGGAATTCACACGCCCACAAAACGTGAATCGGAGGGAGGGTCAGAATGGACACCATCCCCTGCTCCTGGCAAAATGAACGCTGCTCATGTTTTGTGTCATTTACATAATATTTTCTTTCCATAGCAGTATTTTATAGATGATTTTCTAGCATGATTGTCTCATGACCACAGTATGAAACCCTCAACATTAAAGTATTTTGTCAACGTATTTCATACACGTTTTTGTTTGCTAAGTTAATTGTGTCAATCTGAATATCAGCGGTCTGTTGTGCAGTTTCATTCAGTTTGAAAACATATTTTATCCATGACTGACTAATTCTGATCCACCTGACCATAACAAGGAAAGTCCTGCAACAATTAGTGAAAGAGAGCTTTTGCTTCCCAGCTGCTCACCAAAAGTATGACTCTTTCTCAGAACATGCTAGAACACATGAAAGTAATTTGAGGCACTTAACTGTCTATATGCAATTAGACCAGAACGTAAAGACGTCTTTATGTACAACTTCAGTTGAATCAGTACTCGTTTCATGCCTGTGTGCCCATGGAACAATTATGAACAATCTTTGTCTGCTAGGTACACTTCATGCATTTTACATGAGGCTCCATTATTACCATAACTAGGCTATCAAAGATATTTCAGGCCTTCAACATTCTTTTCTCTGGGATTTCACTTAGATCTGTTGTCAAGAATTTGAATATGCACCCCAATTTATAACGCACATGTGTGCATATACGAGTGCCGTTGTGTGCGTGTGTTAATGTCGAGGGGGCTGTCTGCCAATCTATGACTGTCCTTCCTACATCAGATCTGTTTCTCTGAAATACTCTGGTCCTCATGTTCTGATTCTGTTCAGACTCTGTGGTGATTTTTGTTCCTCTCCAGAAAATGTCATAATATGTTACCCTTTATAAGTGTTCTTTTTAAAATAAACATACGAAGACAAATTTGTATAACATTGAGCTGCAGTAAATAAATTCCTTCAGCGAGCAACTTGCAGTCTTTTTATTCATTAGACACAAGGGTTTGACGGACACCCAGGATGTGGCAGAGTAATTACCATTTTCCTTCTTGATCCCCCTTTCTGTTCCTCAGCACTGTGACGTCCTGTGAAGCAGAGAAGCAAGGCGAAGTCTCCTCTATCGTTTACAAGCCGCCAGCGAGTACTAACACACCATAATTACGTCCTTCCAGGGACGGGATCAGCAAGCAGAACAAAGTGGGTCAGTGTGCGCTTGCAGACTGTGGGGCTGTTTTGTATGACATGTCCATCACAAAGTGTACAGTTAACTTTTTTCCTCTCCCTTGGTGTCTTGTTATCTCCTTTTTACTTTTTAAGAAAAAATGCCTGTTTATTAATGTTGGACATAATGTTCTATTACAAAAAAAAAACACCAGTGAAAGGAATTCTAAAGGCCATATATGTGGCCTTGTTTTCATTATATTTGAGGGGCATTTGTACCGGCAAGTGGGACACAGGTCACGAAACCTACAAAATGTGCTCATTTTATATACCCACGCAGGCTCACTGGTGTGAGGGCACTCACTACATTACAGTTAGCATGCTAACTTAAAAGCCATTATTGAGGGAATTTTACTGCAAGTGAAATAACACACACTACCAGTCACAAGTGAACTTTAATGTGCTAGCATTAAATGCAAGAATATCGCTATTATTATGCAGTCTTGTAGCTACTGAAATTAGGGATTTGGGGATTTATAATGAATAAATCATTAACATATACACTGCATAAGCAACCGCCACATAACACTTTACAACATCAAATTAAAAATTAAAATAGTAATAGCACTATTTTATTTAAATGTTTAAATAGTATTAGTTATTCGCAAAGTTAATACAAGTTAATATTATAAGTTAGTTAAGAAATGCAGTAACTGATTAAACACTCTCTTGACTTTATTAATCTTTATCTGTTAAAAATGCATGAGAGAGACATTTCAGCTATAGCAGTGCACGCTTATATAAAAAGTGATGTGAATAGATGCATTCCCCACACTACAATGTCAACAAAAATAGTAGCATGAGCCCAGCAAAATGCTTTGTTCTGGATGAAATGATGTGCTTCACGTGATTCAATTGGTCATTCATCTGCTGTGTCTCCACGTGGCTGTACTCACATGCAAATATGCTAAAATACCAGACGCCAGGCCAGGTAAACACCAGGCTTTCTGTCTCGAGGTCCCTGGGGCCAGTGGAGGACATGCTTCAGAGTACAGGTGGCTGCTTGGGCCTCCAGGACGAGAGGTATGATTCAAGTCGACTGCAGAACACCAGGACCATCAGAAACATGAACCAGGACATGGGAGCCAGGAACTGGAGCTGAAATGTTTAAACATGCCAACCAGAAGGAACCCAATACATCCATGGCATACCAGGTTAGGAACTCCGGCTGACTAAGACTGTGAACACAGGAACAAGATGTTGGCTAAAACCCAAGATAACCCTGACTAAAACCGGGAAATAGAACATCATTGGATTAAACCAGTACCACAAACCTGGATACTAGTCTCAAACTGAGTCCTGAGTGTTGTCGATGCCGTGCTCTGAGCGATGCTCATTGCTCAGTCTAGGTAAGACTGCTAGCCAGCTACTCTGGCTTCATGCACGGACCTTGCTCAGTTCCATGACAGAGAGCAGTGCAGGTGTAACAGCACCTACCTGCCTGAAGGTGGCTCCTGATGGCCCATTCAAAACCTCATCGGTTCTGGGTTTAAGACCAGGCAAAAATGATCAGAATAACAAAGGGGATTACCCCAAAGTGAATGGACCCCCAGCCAACAGAATGGACCTGTACCAAGTGACAATGCAAACCTCCTGGTTCAAAGTTTCCAAACTGGACTGAAATTGATGAATTTGATGGGTGAGAGAATTACCTATTGACGCGAACATAACCAACTATTACTCAAACTCTTACAGGCCAAGACAGTTACCACCGCCAGAATGCACCTTTAAGACAACAAATTGGGTCAGAATAAAATACTGGAAGCAGTTCCAGGACTCCAATGCTGAAAAAAACCAACCATTTTGTCTGTGGGACTCCAAAATGGACTGGAAAGATTTTAAGTTTAAATACATTTCAAATCAGTTCAGAGCCCAGCAGTACCTAACCATAACCATAACCATAACCATAACCACAACCATAACCATAACCACACGTGCAGGATGTCAGTTTAGCCAATCAGACTAAAATTTAAAAATGCCTTTGTGAAGCTTCCCATCGACGTCTCAGTTGTGTGCTGGTTTGTTGTAGATACTGTTATCCTTCCACAACTATCGTGGTGCAGTGCAGAAGAGTCTGGCTGGTGGCTTTTTAATATTTTTGTCCCCCATTTCATCCCTGACTTTCAAATGTATCACCCAGAGTGGCCTCATCGCACGCAGTCAGTGTGCAGAAGGGTCATGGTATCACCACAGACTTCAACCAGTTGCTGAGATCTTTGCAAGTCTGCCTGCTCATAGTTCCTACTCATTATTCATTAGATATCGGCAGACATCAAAGCACCGAAACGATGCCCCAGAAAACAACGTCCATCAGAGGAAAATGGCTAATCATAGTTCTCCTAAAAGGTCCTTTTAGGGCAATGACCTTTGACCATTTTAGAAACAGTTGTTTTGAAGGTTTGCGTGTGCATATTGTTATATACATGTTAGTTTCCTGGTTTTCTATTTAAGAAAATGTTAAATATTTGATACATTGCTCATGTCAAGGCATGGCTCGCAGGCACACATTTTAGTCAAAAATTATATCTATTCATAAAATCATAAAATCAAAATTATGTATTCACATTTTTTTAGTATTATGGCTCTAAAAATGATTCCATGTGTAAGTTCATCTAATATAACTTAAACTGGCCTGAATCATCACTGGCTTCATTCACTTTGCTTTGAGTTTCAGGACTTGCGTAAAACTAACTGAGCTTCCGAGCACGAGGCATGCAAAGGGCAAAACAGTTCCCCAGATTTTACACTGAAAAGGAAAATGAACTGTGTACAACTCACTTTATTAGACTTGTCTATAAATACAAAGGCTTTTTATGCCTGCAAACATCTAATACCCAATTTAATTATTAGGAAAGTTGCCTACAAGAGAAAAACAAGCCCTTGGGCTGTTTAACTTTAAAAGCTTATGCTTCAGAAAGTATATAAAACAAATAATCTGACTAGACCCATAACCCAGAGAGACCTTGCTGACTGCCTGATAATTGTCTGCTTTCATGGTGCCATACAACCAGAAAATTACACTTCTGTTTTCACGCCTGTTGGGCACTATCGCTGGGGCTATTGCAAACAAGGGATTCTTCACACAGAGAGCCCACCATTGGGATCTGCAAAAACTTTGCGATTATCTGGCCGTAGGGATCCCTTCCCACACAAACAATTTCAGAATGACTGGACCATGTAACAAACAATGGTTGTTTCTCCTATTTCTCATCCTCTCTATATTTTTCTCCCAAAAAGACTTTCTTGAAGGCAATAGCTCACCCTCAAACATGATCTATAAAAGATGAAGCAGCCTTTACACAGTGGATCTTTTGAAACATTGTTCATCCCTCACCTGCAGAAAATGTGCCCGTATTTTGATAAGCGTTTAATCTCTGTCAAACACTGCATTTATATGTACTTTTTAAATCCACTATACTTTGAAACATAAAACTATACAGTGTAAACAGGTATGTTTGGCATCGTGTTTTGGCGTACATTCACAATGCATTTCCATGTAGTGTTTCTGAAAGGATGCATCGTTCATTCTGTAAGATGAAAGGAGGAGCAGTAGAGGACAGGCTGCTGATGCTTCACTGTGCTAGCATATCGCAGCAGACCTCACTGTGCTAGCATATCGCAGCAGTCCTCACTATGCTAGCATATCGCAGCAGACCTCACTGTGCTAGCATATCGCAGCAGACCTCACTGTGCTAGCATATCGCACCAGACCTCACTGTGCTAGCATATCACAGCAGACCTCACTGAGCTAGCATATCACAGCAGACCTCACTGTGCTAGCATATCACACCAGACCTCACTGTGCTAGCATATCGCACCAGACCTCACTGTGCTCGCATATCACACCAGACCTCACTGAGCTAGCATATCGCAGCAGACCTCAACTGTGCACCACAACGAGATCCAGCCAGCCTGTAGGCACATTAATGTATTTCATATAAATTTTTTATTTCATTTTTTTTATTTCTATATAATAAGCAAGTCACCTGGCCAGACCAACCCCACAGGCACCGTCAGACAGATGGCAAGACCACTGCCGTCCACCATCGGAAACACTGTCGCCTGGGTCAGTGATGTCGTCCATCCGTCAAAATCGATCTCCTGCTGGGGGAAGGAACTCTGTGGAAAAGACAACTACATATTAAAAACCGTCAGACTCCATCAATCACCGCCCAGGCTACCCTGTTTCCCTCCAACACCAAGCAAGTCAACTTTCTGGCTGCACATGGTGGCCGTTTCCACCTCTGAGTGAGTCGACGGGCCGCCGCTCATTAGCATGTAGCATTAATGCTCATGTGCTGCGCATCAACTGTAATCATGGCATTCTTTTCCTGCTCCACATCTCTCATAAATCAATATGCTATTAAGACGAAGCATTGCATTTAATGACATATCACCTAACTATATAGGCAATTCTTCTCATTATATTGGTTAAATTAATAAAATGAGTTTTATGGACTTGTCAATAAAACATTTCTTGCAGCATGAAATTGGTTCCCAGCTTCATTTATGTCAACACATTTCCAGGCTGCCTTTGCACAATCCCCTTAAATAGAACCTACAAGTATATAACTATTATATTGCTTTTCTTTCACATAAAATAAATGTATACTTAAAATTACAATAAATAAGTACTGTAAATCCATAAGTAGGTAAATCCATAATGTGATTTAAATGATTTTGAAGGGGTAGAAGAGCAAACAAAGCGAGGTTTTATAAAGAGCTTTATCAATGAGCCATTGTAGTAACACTGAGTATCACAGTGAATCCCATTATAAGTGATGAATATTCCACTTAACAAGTACAACCCAATTCCCTAACAGTATCTCGCCTGCCACCGATTCTGAGTTATTCAGTTCTGGCTGTGCTATTCACATCGCAATTGAATTCATCTTTCACGGCTTCATCTAATAAAGGCGTTTCTCTAGTCAAATCACCCCTTCTTAATGTGTTCATCAATATAAAATATCGGGCCCTGGGGGAGCATCTATAAAATGACAAAACAGGGGCGACGTTTTTTCATAACCTTGTAGCAGATTATGTACTCATGACATTTATTAGCTTTGCATGAGATCTGTAAAACAGAGTCAGTTATCAAACACTGAAGCTCATTTTCAGTATCAACGCAGAGTTAAATTGAACAATGCGTGCTAAGAGGTGGTGTTTATTATGCGCCGTTTTGGCTGCATGTGGTCCCTCTAGGTCTAAGCCACATTGCTTTCCCCTGGATTCTCATTACACACACCAGCGCAACCTAAAGCTCAGTGGCCTGACTTCAAAGCGCCAATTTCGTTTCTTTGATTCACAGTAATTTTACATCAGCAAACCTGCATTTAGAATAAGCAGACAGTTTGCTATGTACACATATTATGACTTGTGCTTTGTGAGCTGTTTGGGGAGTTATGACAGTGATGACAAATATTCCACAGATACTGTGGCCTGTTGTTCTGGAGGTCCATGTAAAGTGGAAAGTTTAAAGCAAACCAAACAAATCAGGCGTTACTATCAAAACTGCACATCATTGAGAGATGAAAATAAAGAACATCACCTATGGTCATTTTCTGCACAAGCTTATCCAACTGAGGGCTGGAAGAAGGAAGCACAGTAACAAGTTAAACCAAAATCAGACAGGAGGGAGGAGCCCTGTGAGGTATGGGGGGGTCCTAATTTAGATTATTAGGTATCATATGTAAACTACATGGACAAAATTATTGGGTCACCTGGCCATTACACCTACAGGAACTTTTATGACATCCCATTCTAAATCCATAGACATCATTATGGAGTTAGCCCCCCCCCCCCTTTGCAGCTAAAACAGCTGCTGTTCTTCCGGGAAGGCTTTCCACAAGTTTATGGAGTGCTTCTGTGGGAATTTTTGCCCATTGATCCAGAAGAGCATTTGTGAGGTCAGGCACTGATGTTGGACGTGAAGGTCAGGCTCGTATATCTGTTGTAGTTCATCCCAAAGGTGTTTGACGAGGTTGAGGTCTGGGCTCTGTGAAAGCCAGTCAAGTTCTTCTACACCAAACTCACCCAACCATGTTTTTATGTACCATGCTTTGTGCACTGGGGCACAGTCATGCTGGGACAGAAAAGGGCCTTCTCCAAAATGTTCCCACAAAGCTGGGGACATAGAATTGTCAAAATTCTCTTGGTTTGCTGAAGCATTAAGTTTCCTTCACTAGAACTGAGGGGTCTAGCCCAACCCCTGAAAAATAGCTCCATACCATTATCCCTATACAAACTTTACAGTTGGCACAATGCAGTCAGGCAGGTAACGTTCTCCTGGCATCCGCCAAACGCAGACTCATCCATCAGACTGCCAGTCAGAGAAGCATAATTCAACACCAAACAGAACACATTTCCACCACTCCAGAGTCCAGTGGCAGTGTGCTTTACACCACTCCATCCTACGCTTGGCACTGCGCTTGGTGATGTGAGGCTTGCATGCAACTGCTCAGCTCATGGGTCAGATTGAAACACCTGAATTCAATGATTAAGAGGTGTGTCCCAATACTTTTGTGCATATAGCATATTTATGATCACAATCTTAAAGATGCAGAATGTCAATTTGTCTGTATGTGGTTACATGCACAACAAAAGCAAAACAAAATGCTAAAAAAGTTATTTTTATTTGCTATGGGTGTTGTGTATATCGCATGATTAAATGATTAAACGTATATGACTTTTTGAAACGTAACATGTTAATGAAACTTTAAAATGCATCAAAATGGCTTATAAGTGGGCACTGTGAACATACCACATCTATATTCTGGATGCCATGGTAGTCCATTGCAGGGCACACATTGGCAATCACTTTTAACATTATAGTTATAACATTAGTCTGCCAATAAGGATCATTATACTTAATTTTAATGAAATTAACTTTACAGGTTATCAGAGTGACGTTTAACTTTCACCTGGCCTAAGTTACAGGGCAGCTGCGGTTTGCCGCGAGCTACATCTCGTGCTTTTAAATATGAATTTAGGCGCGGGAAATGCTGTAGGAACGAACGGCCCCGGCACGGAATTCGGGTAGGACTGGTGGCACCACAATACTCCGTCTCATAATGGCAACAAAACACTTCCATTCTCTTTACATTTTAATACTGGCATCAGAAAATGAAAATACTTAACAGCATTGACTACTTTGTGTGGTTTTCTCCAGTGGTATTCTACATTTGTCAAGCTTAGCCGTAACTCACTAAAACCAACTTAGCGTGACGGAGCCTCGGTAATTTCCCATAATTTCAGTTTGTTGTTAAAGCGCACATTAAATAAATATTTAGGTAATAATTTTCAAGTACGTGGCGTGTTAGCTGTAAAACATCGGAGCACTTTAACATCGTAAAAAACCGACAGTCGCTATCAAATTGTGAAGATAAACGGCATATTGTAGGGGAGAGTAGGGACAGTTGCAAAATGGCTTATTCCTCCGATCAGCAATGAGCCGCAGTGATATTCATGCCGCACATGCTTAGTTAGCCCCTCTTCCTTCCGGGAAAAATGCAGTCATATGTAACCATTCTTTCTGCAAAAAATACTTTTCAATGTAAAAATATATATATATTTCTTTATGGTCAGATTTTATGTCATACTGTCTAAACTTTGCGTGAATCATTGTAAAGTCATGTAATTTTAATCAGTGTTTTCTTTCTAACCGGCATAGCTAGCATGTGTCAAGCAATACCAAGTTTTATCTTGGCTGTCAGTGTAAGGACAGTGTAACCATCCCAACATGCTGTTGCACTGATGAAGGAGCCATTTATATTTGCCGCAACTGTGAGCCTGATGTGGACTAATTGCTCTTTCTTACCCTCTGTCTGTCATACACACATAAGCTATATCACATTCACATACAGACACACACACAAATAATGGCTTACCCACATATCCAGATGCAAACTTAAAAATACTTCACAACATTCACCTAAACACACACATAGTTCACTTCAGTAAGCTCTCTGGCGTGGATTTCCTGTCTGTTACCCTCTTTCTGTCACACACACATACATCATATACAGACACACACACACTTACTTATATATCCAGAGGCACACTTAAGAATATATTCCAACAGTCACTTAAACACACGCACACACAGTTCAATTCAGTAAGCTCCACAGAAGTATTAATAAATTTCAGTGTCTTGATTTCTATTTAAAAATATTTTCTAGTTCAAATGTCTTGTGATGATTAACCAAAACATGCTTCTCACTTTTTACTTAAAAATGTTTTTTTTTTTCCTTTTACTAGTCTTTGTCTTTATACTGCCAATTTAACTTGAAGACCCTGTCTGTGCATAAATAAATTAAAGAAATTGCAAAATGATGTTAAATGTTAGGGTTAATTTATTACATTTTTATAAATGTTGCAACTGTCCCCTGTTATGGGGTCAGTTGCAACATTTGACTTTGTCTATTCAGGTGTAAATTGTACATATATAATCATATATACACATGTTACAGCAGTTCGGTGGGTAGCTGACATATGTGGGTGTAATGTATTCAAATTTTGTCTTTCCAATACAAGCAGTCTCTGAGAAACTGATGAAAATTTAAAAAGTGTTGCAACCGTCCCCACTCTCCCCTATTCAGGGAATGTATAGCTTCTGAATTTAATGTATGTATTCATGTACATTACTCTAGTTATGTTTGCCTGTCCTATATACTGTAACTTTATCAGTTACAATAGCAAACATGTTTTTTCTTATTTTGAATTCTGATTGATTTTCCCTCAATGCTAAAATACTAAAATAATTTACTCATCTGCATATATTATGACTGTCTGTGGCCATCTTTGAGTGTGCGAGTGTAGGAATTCTCCCTGCCTGGATCCAAATGAAAGGCAGAAGATGCTGGGTGCAGGAGCACTTGCATATTGATCACCACTCAGAAAGCATAAAACAGCTCCAATGCAGAAGGTTTCAGAACAGCACAGGCTCGCTTTCCTCGGGCAGATTATAGACCTGTTAGCTGTCCTCCACAGAAAAAAAGGGAAAATCTGTAAAATCTGTCAGTTTGATCTAATATCTTGATGGGAAGCACTGTGGTCATTTCTCAGTTGAGGTTCAGGTGGTTCTCCTCCTGTGTGAAACAACCTCTCAGAAAGCACTCTGGCTCCATGGTCATAGTTGGCTGATCTGTTTGTTTATTTTACATGCAGTGCCATTTACCCCATAGTCTGTGCTGTAGTTCCATATAACTTCTTCAACAGCAGGAGAATGAAGCTGAAGCCATGTTTTGGCTTGATTTTCTCATTTGTATTTAATATAGCCACATATTTTCCTTGAGATGAAAACAAAAGAGGGTTTATTTAGGTTCAAATGGAATATTGTCATAGGAACACAGGAAGTAGCCTCATCTCTAAGTGATTTAGCAGTGGTCACAAAAACCTTGAGTTGGCCTGTTGTTGGTGACCTGACACAAAATAAACTAGAACACATTTTATACGTTCCACTGCAGGATCATTAGACAATGCCAGGCCAGCCTCTTAAATTAGATAATTTTTTTCTCAAACTGCCCCAGGCTAGCTGTGATTAATTAGGGTGCACATCACACTGGCTCATTCCATGTGTTGCATTTGTGCCTTTTATTACACTTTGTGTATTTTTCTGTATAGGGAGCAATTAAGACTGCTAAAAAGGTTTCCTAAGGATTTACCTTTGCTTGATAAATTACTCTCTGTTTAATTCAATCTTGACCCCTCAGTGATTTTTAAGCCTGTGGTGAGGTAGTTTTATATATTTTAAAATTTAGAAGAGTACTGACTTTATTAACGCTAAACTAAGTATTTAAACCAATCAATTTTTTTCCGTGCATTATTTCTTATAAATTATTAGTCTATGAAAATATGAATATTTATATTGAATTATTTGTAAATGGGTTTTGAATCAAAATTGTTTTATAAATAGCATAATCAGAAATGATGGAGAATGTTATTTAAACAACCGTTTTTGAGAGAATGTAGCATACAGTTTAATCTTAAAAATAATGATTGATGAATAAAAAATATATTGCACCCAGCTCTGTAGTATTCTTTGACATTAGTTTAATATAAATATTAAAAAATCTTTTCATTACAAATGGCTGCAGCAGTCATATCCATAGTAATTTATCAAAAACAATAAGAATTCAAGACATAGTACACTATTACATAATCTCATGAATACCAGGGTGCTATGTCAAGTTATACATGAACAATATGATAAATTATCAAGTATTCGATATATAATATTTGTATCAGGAAGATCTAATTTTTTTAAGCATACCTAATGTCTTAATATCTAGTACACAAATCCTGCAGACCTTTTTATGACTGTGTTTTATGAGATTTGTTAAACTCCTGTTTTTATGTTTTTGAGACGTAAAATACTCTTAATCATGAATTGTGAACACCGTACCTTTTGCAATGATAGCTATCAATTTTTATTGTTGACCAGTTTTGCTGGTCAAAACATTTATTGCATTTTGATGTTAAAACTCTGTTTGCATTCATACTTGAACATATATTGCCCTCATCTCACTGAAACCATTGATGGCAATTTTCCCTCAAAGCTCCCTGTTATGGGAGTAAACCATTTTCTTTAACACAGCTCACGGCAGCACTGTAGAGCATAAAATGCTGTGGCGGGCTGTTTGCTTTTTCATTAACATTCATCCACCATTTGATTGCCCTGGATTTGCAAGCAGCCTTCTTCTGAAAACTGAGTAACCCCACTGAGGAGAAGAGGAAAGGGGAGTGTTGCACACCCCCTGTGGTGCCTGTCTATAGAGACTAGAGACAAGGGGGAGATTTATTGTTTGATGTGTGCGCCTGCATTGTTTGAGTTTGATGTTATTATGTGTTCTCAAAGCAACAATAGGATATCACACAACGCGGGGCCATTAGAGGGGAGAGCTGGCCTTATGTTTTATTAACTGCTTATCGACCTGTGGATTTTGGCCATTTATGCACCATAATTGTTTGTAGCCCTATTACAGTGTTTCCTGAGTAACCAAAATAAGGAGAACATGTAAAAAAGTCAACTTGCTATACGTGGGATAGGCCACTGTTATGGTTTCCCTGTTAAGTCTTTAGATGTAAGTTTACATTTCTAAGTGGGAGATTCCTGTCACTATAAGCACATGTAATTTTGTTTCCTGAAAAGTCAGCATCATTTTTTTTCTGCCAAATGGAAGTCACACCTTGATATCATACAGTACTGTTTGCTTGTCACTTGGGAGGGAATTAAAACGAAAAGTGGGTGCAGCATGAATTCCTGACAGCAGTCTTTACTTTCAGGAAAAGAGGAAAAAAGTTTATTCCACATTTGCAGCAGTTTAGAGTAAACTGCTTTAGCTGACAGAGTTTGCTGTGCATTAACCTAAATCGGTCCGAGCAATTCCAAAAATCAATTTTCCAACAGAGTTGTCAAGTTCATGTATTAAATTCTAATTTCTTTAATTTGTGAAAACAATTGAAGTCATTTTTCATGTACCCCACTCCACCCATAGAAACCCTACTATTGACAATTGCAGTAGATTTACCACTCTGTCAACCAATAATGTCAATTCACATGTTCTTTAAGGATCAATGCAACAATACACAGGAAGGTACCTGAAGGGCAGAGAACAACTGCCCAGGTATGAAGACCTTGGTGTAAATGACCCAAAAAATGTATGTGCCTCCTCTACTGTAGTTTTAGTATTCAAAAAAGAAAATGTGTTTTTTGAAAATACACATCAGTCCTTCGAGTTTATCCACATTTATACTAACAGATTTTCAGAAGTTCAGGTCCAGAAAGTACAAATCCAGACTAAGGTTTTGTTTCAACCAGTTAATTTAGTGTAAAGAGTCACAGTCACAGACTACTCAGCTGGTTGTCTTTGGATTTGTACCTTCTGGACCCGAACTTTCAAATTGAAACATTTTTTTGCACTGAACACTATTTACCTCAAATTATTTTTTTATTATTATTAGTGAATAGTATTCTCCACTTTGGAGTCTATACATGGGGTTTGTTCTGTGGTGCAGGCTTAAATTAAACTCTTAAA